TGAAATGTTGCTGAATCCATTGATGAAAGATCATTTGATGACGATGTTTTAACAGCAAAACGTAGATTTTTTAATTTTGGTGGACATAATATAGTTTCAAAAAGTATACTAGATTGTTCGAATATATATTTTAATAAATCATTTGATTCACTAGATGTCGATGATTGATTTACTAAATCACGAAATAATTCGAGAACACTATTTAAATGATCACTATATAATCGAAATGATTGAATTGAACTTAATAGATAAACATATTGACGAGCATAAACATTTCGAACTGAACAATCTTTATCATCAAGCGAGCGACGTATCATTGGAAGTAACTAGAAACAAAAATTTCGATTAAAAAATACATATATTTTTCTTTTGTATTTACTCGTTCATTAAGAAAATCAAGTTGATTTGTTGTATGATGTTTTAATACATAAAGTAAACAATCCATATAAGCTTTTAATAATGAACTCACATTATTCATCTGTTGTCTTCCTTTAATTGACAAAATTCTAAAAACAAACTTTGAATTTATTGGAAAAAAATATTCTTCGTTTTACCCTTCTTCCATTGATTGAAAAAAGTTTTCAATAAATCGATAATTTATTTTATCTTCAATAACTGTTTGTGGTATTTTCATAATCAATGGTAATAAACAATCTTTAACACCAAAAACATTCCCATGACAGGCATTTTTTAAAAACGCATATAATTTTGGTAAAAATGCTTTTTGATAATTAATTAATGACCAACAATCATCAAATGTATCTAAACAAAGTATTAAACAATCCCATATTAATGGACATAATTTTGGTTCGGTTTCATTAATTGCATAGAAAACAAGTGGAATTATTTTTGTTTTATATTCACGTATAACATCAGGTATAAGATTGATTAATTCATAAAGACAACGATAAAATGAACTTTGAATCTATGAGAAAGGAGGAAAAGGAAATTTTGTTTTTTTAGAGAATAAAATTTTCTTACTTGTACTGATTTAATTTTATCTAATTTCCAAAATTTTCCTGAATCAAATATAGTTTTGAAGTGACTTGTTAATTCTGAACGTTTATTTGCTTCGAAATAATTAAGAAATAGCGCAAGAGCGAGAAGAACTTGTGCTAAACGTCTTTCATGTGCATCATCGGTTTCCATTTCATTCTCTTTTCTAAAAATAGAATAGATTTTTTTCATTTTTAATTGAGTTTGTTTTTTTTACTTGTCTTTAAGAACATCCGAACATTGATTGATTTCGTCAGTTAATGTTGACATGATTTCATTTCGTGCGAAATAAACAGCTTCAGCTTGTTTATTTTCTCCACTAAATAATTTTGTATAAAGAAATTTTGCTTTTGATGCAGCAGGTGCATAGGAATCACATTGTGCCATTAACCAAATAGGTAAAAGAACTTTTAAATGTGGTGATAAATTTTTTTTCATACGCATGCCAATTGTATCAAATGTTAATTGACATTCATCGCGAACACGTTGATCACAATCCTTAGATGAAAGAAATAAATGAATTACTCGTTTTATCAATTATGAACTTACGGTTGACCATTTACGATAATGTGAAATAAAAAATGGTAGAAAAACACGAATTTTATCATCAGCTGATTCATTTTCATCACAATAATCTCGTAATTCATTAAATGCCTGTGAAGATAATTCATATTGTATCTTTAGTTTTCGTTTAATATTTACTCGAATTTTGGTTGTTGAATCTTTTTTCGTTAGTTTACGTAATATGACACGTAATTCAGAGTCAATATCATTATCAATTCCAATATCATCGATACCATTGGAAATAGGTATATCACCTATTCGATTAAAATATTTCTTTGATTTTTTTTGTCGGAAAAAGTTTTTACCGGAAAATAATGTAAAGGAATTAATTCCATGTGTGATAAGTGTTGCAGAAGCTTTCGCACTACTTGCAGGCTAGAAAAAGTTGAAAGATTATTTGAAAATTCATGTAAAGAATGTCAACCTACTTTTGTATTTCCTCGAGTTCGTTGTGTACCTCGTTTTGACATGGTTTATTTTTTTAAACTTTGATATCTAAATGAAGAAATAATGCAAATAGAGATATATGAAAAAAAAGCTTTGGGAATTTCATTGTATTGCATCAGGATGGATGATTGTCACATGAACATGTTGAAATTTCTTAAATTGAGGAAGAAAAGGAGAACGAGTATAAATGGAAAAGAATACATTAGTCATAGATATATAACTCCAATAAATTTTTAGTTTTTCATCAATCATCTACAAGCTAATCAGAAATAATACGATTAGAAGAATGGTTGCTAACGACATCTATTGGAATTATCATCGTCAAAATGAAATATTATCGTTTTCTGCTTAATAGATTTGATTTCGTTTATATTAGAAGTTTCAGTTCAATATTCTCAACTTTACTTGTTATCAAATTAATTGAACAACAATGAGATTTGAAGTTTTCGAAAGCATCAGCTAAGCTTTTGTACACATACGTATTTACTCAAGGGTACGAATTAAATGATCAGTTGTTTTTCTTATAACGTAGTCAGTAGTTTTGATCAGAAAATAAATCCTTTCTGAGCAGTAAATAATATTGAATGGTAGTAATCATGATCAGGGTGTGGGTGTGGATGTGAGTGTCCATCTCTTATCCACCCACACCCAGTTTAAATTTTTTACTGATAATTCATAATAAAACTACTACTCGCTTTTACTGTTCATTTTGAATAAAAAACTGACCGTTTAATTTCTTAATTATTAAAATAACTGTCATATTCTAAATATTCAAAGTTCAACAAGAACGACAATAAAAACATTGTAGGTTATAAAATGTTTTATATTCATAAAAAAAAACACAAAATTCATTACTGTTGATATAATATGATTACTAACGCAGTTTGTTTAAAAAAGTGTAGGCATTCATACTAAAGAGCATATGAAAGGAAGGATAGACACTATCACACTACTCTAAAACGCTTCAATGGACAACTATTAATCACAAAAAGCAATTTTATGAAAATATTTACCATTGAAGCGTTTTAGAGTA